AGTTATGGCCATTGATCAATTGAAAAATCTTGTGGACGCTCTAGTGGGTAAAGTTATCATCCAATTGACTTTAAATTTATACATATATAGTGTCAAGAAAAGAAGAAGCGAGAGAGAGAGACAGGGAAATGTGGTTTAACGTCCACTCAACACAAACTAGGTCATTTCGGGACTAAAATATGGTTTAATTTTATTTTAATAATTTACTTGCGCGTAGGGGTCTTTAGCAATGGGAAGAAACCGGAAAAAGAAGAAGCCTATTGATATTTAGAGATTTCTGATAATTGATGCCTGAGTTATGGCCCTTGATCTCTTGGACAAATCTTGGGGACACTCTAGTGGCGAAAGTTATCATCCGATTGACTTTAAATTGATACATGTATTTATCCTCATGAGATGAAGAAGCCTATTAATTACTGTTACAGTTATCTCCCTTGATCAATATGAAAAATCATGTGGATGCTCTAGAGGCCAAAGATATAATTTCTGATTATTATTGTTAAGGAGTTATGGCCGTTGATCAATTCGATAAATTATTATATGATTGACTTCAAAATCAGCATGGTAATTATTCATTCGGACCCCAGATTCCCTTCAAAGGGACGAGAATTAACATTAAAGTCAAAGGGGAAATTAATGGTGACCTGTGTCCTACTCCTATACTGGAATATAGCAGTGAACGGGTGAACTGCCTATTCGTGCCACTGAAGAAGGGAATAGTAGGCTACATAACATCGTTTTGGCATTATGTCTCTGAAACCAGTAACATTTCCAACAGTTCATACCTTTTTCAATAAACAAATAAGATGCTAAACATATTACACTGGTAACATGAAACCCAATTTCTGTAACCAAGGAGTTGGATTAATTTTTTTAAACATAAAAAAAAAACAAATTGCATAAGCACACACTCTTATTCAGTCTGAAACCACATTAATGTCTCTGCCATTTCTGTATTAAAGTATTTACCATGCACAGCTTTTATTTCTTATTTATTAATAATTGCTGTAAGACATAAACTGATAATAGAACTCAATGGTCAACAGTAGTAGATAAACAAACATGAAGTAATTCGTAATCTTTCATCAATGTTGCAGACTTGGACTGCAGATGGTAAATCTCTTAAGTAAGCCCATTATGGTTTAATCTGTTTCCTGCCTTATAATCAGCGTTCTAGATACACTATACCTATCTACAAGTACATGGTAGATGTACGTCAAAGTCCTCTTTCATTCATAAGAAAATATTAGACTATGATTCTTAATAATTAATGATGACAATCTACTATAATAAGATCGATGAATTGTGTGGGTGAGACAGAAAATTGTTCTTCAGATTGCTTAAGATATTTTTGGATCTAATACATTTGAATGAAGGGAATTTCTGAATGAGAAAATGTTTAATAAAAATAAGATGCCTGTCACAAAATTACAATTCATTAAAGTTATATATTGGTATTTGAAAAATACAATCATTAAGCCACTCAAATAATTACTCAAAAGAGTTACGTAACTGAAGTGCCTCTGTAATAAAGCATATAGTGACTATTTCTCAACGGCTCAATAATTTGACTTGAAACATTTGGGCATTGTGCAGTCTTTTTTTTTAACTATTTGTGCACATTTGCTTACATTCTTAATCCCATATTTATCACCAGCAAGTGAAATCTGAGGCCACTCCTTTAAATAACTAAATAAAGCAATCTTTGCATTTTTCTAATCTGTATATCACAGGGAGTTGACCAATAAAAATTCCTGCTGTAGGATGTAGATAGTAGCCAAGACAAAAGACTGTCTGTTTCTCCTAAATGTTTGGCTATTTTTATTTGTCACAGCCTTAATTTGAAATCTTGCCTGTTCAACAAAAAAGATCCAAATTTCCTAAAATTTTGAAACTCAAATCTTATTTGAATCCCTGAACACTCATGTTGTTATAGTATACCAATTCTAAGCTGAAAAACTATGTTTTTATCTGAAGTTTTTGAAGGCCCATTAGATGAGTTATAACTATCCTATTTTCTTTACCAAAATTTAGGTTGCAAAGCATCAAAACATATACTAGAGTAGCTAAGTCTTACGAGCAGTCCATAACGGTTGTTACATTTTTATTGTTTTGTAGGTTACAGGAATTACAAAACACTATACTTGGATCATCAAAGGCAACAACCGATTGAGTAATTAGTGGAAATAATTAAATTTGATAGGCTTCTTCCCAGTGCTAAACATGTTTTGGTAATCGGATGACAACTTTAGCTCTTCAAGATAAAACTCAATAGGCTTCCTCATCCCATGAACATAAACACTGTCCATAATTTCAAATCACTCAGCTAACTTTAGTCTTTTAGATGGTCCACAAGATTTTTTAAAGTAATCAATAGAAATAACTCTACAAATAATTACCATCATTTGTTGAAAATCAAAGAGGTTCTTTATCTCATGAAATAAAAACTGTGTTAAAAATTGGACATCAATGACCTATTTATTTTTCAACCAAGCATTTGTCACAACTCTGAAAGTAATTAACAGAAATCAGATGCTTAGGGCTTCTTCATCTTATGTAAATAAACACTGTTTATAAATTATAAGTCAAAATGATAATCACTTTAGCCTCTACAAAACCCACAAGATTTTTCCTATGGGCTTATTCTTTTCAGGAACATAAACACATTTCAAATCTATCAAATGATAACTCTAGTCCCCAAAGTGTCTATAAGATTTTTTTAAATGATCAAGTGCCATAACTCTGAAAGTGTTTAACATGATTCATTGAAAAAAAGAGGGCTTCTTCATTTAATGAACATAACCACTGTGTACATATTTCAAGACAATCAGAGATAATAACCTTATCTACTTCCAGAGGGTCTAAAAGATCAAAGGTATTGACTGTGACAATAAGGCAACAGAAATAAAATAAGTTGTTTCTCGGGCACCGCACGCAAAATTGGTTGCACGTGCGGCCTATTTATTAGTCTTGATGAAAAATAAAAAATATGTAACGCCCGCCCGAACATCGATAAGCAAGTCATAAAAAGAATATGCTGCATGTACCTACATGCGTCATACTTGTATATCCATTCAAATGTATTAAACTGATTCAGATGTAAATGCTCATTTACAGGTCGTTTTTATTGATATCGAAAGAACCTCCATTTTTGTATCACGTGATTTTAATTACTTCCCCCGGTGAACTAGAATTTGATTCGTGTTAAACACCGAAAGTCATTGACAACTATGCAATGTATTTCAATCATTCGATATTAATCGGCTCATTATTGACGGCTTCAGTCGGTCCATGTTTGAAAAATCCTACTTATAAAACAATGAATCGTAGAACAGGTTAATTATTACTTGTGGCAACGAATACGATACGATTATAGTCACCATACCTTAGTCAGAATCTGGGTCATTAGCACATAACAGTAGTTTTGATAATCCGGAAAATAATAATTGGATTACACATTTAATGGTTTTACTGACCAGTTGTTAGTTAAATTTAAATAGTCATTCAATATAAACCCCAGATAGAACACCGAATATCCTGAGAAACACACCGAATATCCTGAGAAACAGTCATTTCACGAATCCCGATGACACGTGACATGCATTGGTTGGAATTAGGTCAAACCAGCGATACTAGATTTAGTTCTAAGTGTCGTTTACCGTGATGATTATTTTTGATACACATGCTGACAGAGGCTTACTCTTTAAATTATTGTTGTTATTATGGACGGCTATTAATAGTCGTACGGAATGTTATTTTAAACCAATTTCAATTATGGTTGTCACCATTACCATTATTGTAAGCTACATTACGTGAAATAAATATGGAAATTATTTTCCTTTCAGTCAGTGTTCAGTGTTTGAGTAGACTTGATTTTGGGGTTTATGTTCTAAGTATGTACAATATATAACTGAAAGCAAAACCGTAGACAAGTAATGACTTTCTCATAAAAAAAAATAAAAAAAATACAAGGCCGCCCTCCCGCCCCAACAATTTTCAACAATAGCCAAATTTTATTTTGCACCATCCTCTAGCCAGCAATGAGGTAAAAAAAGAAAAAAGAAACTGCCCTCCCCCCCTTCAGTTTCAGCTGTCAGTTGCCCGAGAAACAAGACATTTATTTTGTGTAGCCTAATAATCAGAAATGTTCAAAATCAATGAACATACAGTCAATAGGATTGTAAATTTGGCCTCCATAGAGCATCCACAAAAACCCGGCGTAAAGGAGCTGACCAATGGGCAGACAAGGGTAACTACAATACGACCTTGTTTCAAGTACCTGGCACTAAATTATCTAAACTGTAAGAAGTACATTGAAAAATTTGATTTTCTGTGTACGATTCTGATTCCTGAAATTCCAAAACTGTTAGGTACATGTACAAGAAACCAACCCTTTTGTGTGATCTCAATGGCAGGTGGTCTCAGGGGTTCAGAGATGAAGCTGGAATAACCAGTTTTATACATGTATTCACTAACATGAAATATTACAGCAGATCAGAATCTAAATGCTTTAAATGGGAAAGAACTTGGTCAAAGAGAGATAACTACTTTTACTGGTGAAAATTTGCAGCAGTGAGTCAATTGTGACATTAAAAAACCCTAAGATCAGCATTTCTTCTCACATAGTAAAATGCCAGTCTAATAAATCTATTTTGATAACCAATGAAAGCCCACAAAATAAGGCCAATAATAAAAACTATTATTTAATTATAGCCCAATGATTAGAAAGATTCAAATAAAAAAATATAGGTTAAATGACCTCCTTGCCGAAGGAATATCAAACTAAATCACATTCTCAGACAACAGCTTTTGCACATCAGTTATATATATCTAGAATAATATCAGAAACACTTCCAATATATCTTAAAATGAGAACCCAACTGCTGTATATCTCAGGGAATAATTCAAACAATTTTAGAACACTATTATGATTTAATACATCGTATTTTCTGGTCTGTTGTCTCTTTAATAAAAAAAAAAATAGAAACAATATTACTCACAGTTTTCAAGAACTTTATTTCAGAGTTGATTTTTCTTTCTAATTTTGGTGATCCTTCTACATTCTTTAAATTTTTACATCTTCCCAAAAGTTCCTCAGCAAACAAAATAAAATGATCAACATTAAGTTGTGGATCAGAAGTGGCCATTTTAATAACAAGCTTTTACATTTACTATCAGAACTTGCTTAAAATATCTGAAAAACAGTAAGTGAAATTTTATGTCTAATAGCGTGGAATCCAGAGAACCAAGTTACAAATTTCGAAAGTCTAATAGTAAGTGCAGGGGGACTGCACCACACAAAATTTACACAAAGACAAATACACGGACAAGACATCATACTCAGGAAAACACAAACATACAGACAATTCAAAAAAAGTGAATGGATCCGGGGGCTAGCTGTAAGTGTCCACTGCTGGTTAAACTGAAAATGTTTTTTTCAAAAGTCAAAAGCCCATTTACATGAAGAAAAACAAATGGCCTAAAATATCAGGGACTGTTGCAGTATACTTGATTTAATGTTACTACCTTACAGTCTCATAAGTTTCTTATAATTTGAACAAATTACACTGTAGATGACCTTTGCAATTTTTATAATATCTAGAGATGTCCACAGTGTCCAGAAAATAAGTACCATTTCTAGGGTAATTTGAACCACTATGACTACTTTAAATTTGGGCCCTCAGGCCCCAACACAACCAAACTATGGCATTAATAATTTACTTATAGGAGCTTTTACATGTGATGTACTTCTGGTGTCTTCTGGCCTTTTTTTTCATGTATCTTAACACGGTAAATGCTAAGGAAAATGGAGTTTTTAGTCTTTTTCTTTTAATAGAAAACATATTCTTGAATGCCACTCTTGTTGTAAGATGTGTGTAGCATTCGTAATAAATTACGATTTTAAATCATGTCTAAATTATATTTTTTTCATTATATTGACGATATACTGCCTTGTAGCAGACGACATATGCCAAGTTCGCACACGGTCCAGTTGACCGCTGTACGCAAAAGCATAAACAAAGATGCATTGCTGTATGAAGCCGATTTATATGCTGTGTGTTAATTTTACTGCAAACAATTAATAGATAACATGTGTTTGGGGGTAAAATGCCACGAAATAGAGCATAAGAGTAAATAATAGAATGGGTTAGAGTGGTGACGCTGCGGTTCCACGAAAGAATTATTCAAGACGATATTAAAATTTAAGCACGAACGTAGCACATCTAAAAAAAAAGAACAAATAATAATCACGCTGTAAAAAGTAATTCTGTATAGAATGCGCCAAGTCCATTTGCATTCAACACTTATTCTCTGAACCAAATACTGAATTAGATATTGATAAAATGGACACAAATGTATCGTTCTTCATTCTTGGTTGCGACGGTGGAGATAAACTGACTGTCAAAAGCTGCGCCAAGACGATTTATGTGGTTACACAAGAAAAAAAGGTTTTAAAATATATTCCCAGATTCAACTTGATCATTGTTTTATTAGGCTTTCACCTTCGGTGAAAGACTATTGTTATTACTAAGATTAATATTATTATTTTTTTTATTGGGGGAAGCTAGATCTCAGCAACTATAAGAGATAGAGGTCTGAAGTTTGGTTTTCTCTCGGGAAAATGGGTGGTGGTTAGTGCTTAAATGTAAAACCAAATGCGTCAAATCTTTAACGTGCACGCAAATTGAAAATCGGCCACAATTCTGCTAATTCCCAACCGATTTTTCTCATATTTACATTTTTTGATAGCTGGAGACATTTCGGAGCAGACAGCAGTTCAAAAACGTCGAATTTAGAAACTTTGTCGCTTTGATTTTTTAGGTGAAAATTGCAAAATTTTCAAAATTTTCTAAAAAAATTTATTTCTTCGAATTTTTAAATTCTGATTACAGTTTTGGATAGCTGGCGTCGATCCGATTCCAACGATATAAATATTTTTCTGCAAAGTTAACTTTTTTTCGCATTTTAGTCAAAACGTAGAGATCGTACCCATTTTAAACGGCCCAAACGATTTTACTGAAACTTCAGGAATATGAAGGCGAAGGACCAAACTAGTGTTTAAAGTAAAAATGAAAATTGTCTAATCACCGGAAGTAGTCACGAAAGGTATCCAAAGTTTGACAAAATTCAGAAAAATGGGTGCCTGTGCGGAAATTATTTATTGTTTGATTTGTATAAAACAAAGTTCATATGCTCTGTTGTCTCAATGGTCATTTTTTTTGTTACAGATAGTGTTATCTGTCGGCACCGGAAGTGGCATAATTTTACCAAAAACTACAATTTTGACAGTTAGGTACCATTTTTCAAAAGCAAATATTATTTTTTTTAAAACTCATATAACTAAAAGAGTGTGCCCTTTAAAGCATAAAAAACGCTGAGCTTAGTTTTTTTAATTTCGATTTCATTTTTGAGCAAATTCGATTTAGAGGTGAAAAAGGTCTAAAATTAACCTCTTTACAACCCATTCAGGCTTTTCAAATATCTACGTAACTTTTAGAACCTTGTAGCTATAATCCATACGAAGAAAATGTATGTTAAAATTAGTTTGTAATATAAGCAGTTGCCTAGAAATAGGCAATTTTGTTTAAGTCCCCGTTTTCGTTATTATGCCTGTAAATAGTCAATTATTATTGGATTTTTATATAAAAGACATAAAGGATTTTTCTGAAACTTCAGGAATATGAAGTCGAAGGATGAAACTAGTCATTAAAGTAAAAATGAAAATTTTCTATTCACCGGAAGTGGTAAAAAAAAATGCCAAAACTTGGACAAAATTCAGAAAAATGGGTGCCTGTGCGGAAAATGTGATGTATCAATTGTGTTCTTGTTGTTTAGTTAAAGTTTTATATCGTTTAATAGCCAATCGAATTGTCTATCAGATGGTACTTCAGCGACAAGTTTCTATCAAAAAATAAAAAAGTTGTGTGAAACCCCTGTATCATTTTTTTAAAATGTCAGGGGTAGCCGAAAAAAAGAGATCGAAAATCGAAAACGTCGTATTTTTACGATTTGGAGCATTTTTAGAGGTCTATTTCTTGAAAAGTCAACATAATATTTTTTGGGAACTTCTTCTACAGAGAGGCCTATCAGTAGTGTTATATATAAAACCATTGTACAACAGTTCTAAATTTCAGGAGTAGCAGAACAAAGGGATCGAAAATTGAACACGGCACCTTTCATTGTTAAGCGAAACATAAGGGGGGATACAATCTGTACGTTTTGTCAACGTATAGAGCCTGTTCAAGAGTGCTTTTATCAGTGATGATATTTGAACTGAAATTATTTCAACTATGAGTGTTTTCTTCTATCCAAAATATGGGTTTAGTGACCCTGTAACAGAAATGGTTGATTGCTGTGTATAATAATTAGTCTTTGAATTAATATTGTTGTTTCTTTGTCATTCGATATAAACCCCAGATAGAACACCGAATATCCTGAGAAACACACCGAATATCCTGAGAAACAGTCATTTCACAAATCCCGATGACGCGTGACATGCATTGGTTGGAATTAGGTCAAACCAGCGATACTAGATTTAGTTCTAGGTGTCGTTTACCGTGATGATTATTTTTGATACACATGCTGACAGAGGCTTACTCTTTAAATTATTGTTGTTATTATGGACGGCTATTAATAGTCGTACGGAATGTTATTTTAAACTAATTTCAATTATGGTTGTCACCATTACCATTTGTCAAAATTATCTTATACCGGTAATCATCTGGACAGAAATCGACGGCTCGCGCTCTTTATAAGAAAGTCCAATTTGTTAAGCAGTTGCAGTAGTATCGTACAGTAGTATCGTACAGTAGTATCGAATATTGCACCTATGATAAAAGGCATGACATTGTTTGAGCATGGACTCTATCTGTAATTAATATTAAATTTTTATTAGTGACGTCAAATCTTTAACGTGCACGAAACCAGAAAATTGGCGATATTTCATTGAATATTTAATCAATTTTTGAACCAGTTACATATTTGAGTAGCTGACATGAACGCGATTCCGAAGTCCCGTGTACACATTGGTGTGACCGTAAAAGATCCCTTGGCGATTGGAATTCTATATAAAAGAAGACTAGCGTCGCTGTACGAGCATGTTTAGAGGTCTTTTTCTCAAAAAGGCAATCTAATATTTTTGGGGGAACTCCTTCTATAGAGAGCCTAATTGATATATATATGTGTATGGAAAGAGAGAGAGAGAGAGAGAGAGAAATGGGTTTAACGTCCACTCGACACAAACTAGGTCATTTCGGGACTAACATATGGTTTATTTTTTTTTATTTCAATAATTTGCTTGCGCGTAGGGGTCTTTAGCAATGGGTGGAAACAGGAGGACCCGGAGAAAACCCACGAGGTTGGACAGGCGACCCAACTCCTTTTCACGTTCAACCGGGGAATCGAAACCCCACCAGTTGACTCAATGACAGACCGTATGATACAACGCAGTCTCAAAGTCTAGCCTACTGTGCAAATTCCAGCCAGCATAATGTATCTATATAAGAGACATTTATTCCTACTGGCGATTTACAAATATTGCATGAAGAAATTCAAATCATAAGAACATAAACACGACTAATACACAGTATCATATTGATTATAAAAGTACAATGTATATATTGGTTACACTATATATGTCACAAAACAACAATCATTAGATAATAATAATTATTTACTAATTATATAAATCATTTTAAGAGGTAGGAGTTATCCATTGTTTAATTTAACAGTTATATAATTACCCTGGTTAGAAAGGTACGAACAATTAAGGTATTTAAACAAATGATTACGAAAGAACATAACACTATAGACTTCTATGATAAGACATATAATACATGTTTAATATATATATATAAATGACAATGTCCTACGCTAACAAATAATGAAATATGATAGTATCAGTAAATATAAAAAAACAAAGTAGTCGCGAACATCCTGGCTCTTGACTGTTTCAGTTGTTTGATCCTGGACTCTGTCTGTAATTAATAGTAAACTTTTACATGTTAGTGATGCAAATCTTTAAGTGCACGAAACCAGAAAAATTGGCGATATTTAATTTTTGAACCAGTTACATATTTCAGTAGCTGACATGAACACGATTCCGAAGTCCCGTATACACATTGGTGTGACTGTAAAAGATCCCTTGTCAGTTGGAATTGTATATAAGAGAAGGCTAGCGCCGCTGTACGTTCGAAACATTCCTCATGGTCCATTCCGAGCAGAATGGTGTTAAACCCCATTTCATTTTACTTTGATATTAATATCTATTTCGACATTGCTTTTCGTCCATTTCGCGAAACTGTTCTTTTAACATTTCGCGTAGATCAACTTTATTTTTCGATTCCATTCTATCGTAATGCGCATGCAAAGAACATGTCAATATCTGAGTTATGCAAATGTGTGTTTTTATTTGGGGGGTTGGGGAGTGTGTGTTTGTTTAGGGGGTGAGAGGTGGGGATAGTCTTTTGTCATGCATCTGGCGATCGTGTGACGCCTTGGCACGGTGAAAGCCTTCAGTCTTGCAAGCAAGTCTAGTTCTTTCTGTTATTCATATTCCATCAAGGGGAAATTTTATAAAAATGGCCAAAGTTTTACTCCGGGCATCAAGCAGCTATCATTGGTTAGAGCTGTCTAAAAACGGGGAAATTTACAGTAGCTATTGGCTAACAGCACGTATAAACAATCTTATTTGCATATTGCATATTATTTATAGTATTAGTACCGCATTTTTTGCAGAGTATAGCATGCAGCGCAAAAGCAGACAATATATCATCAACCTTGCACGTACTGTCCAGTCGGCAGTTGAATGTAAATAGGATAGACCATTTAAATCTTTTGTGTTAATAATAGTCCTGTAATTAATACAAGTAGATACTAGATAACATCTGTTTGGTCGTAAAATGCGTAATAAACTTGACCAAATTCTAGTTCGGGCCATGAGCACAGATCAGTCATCCACTTGTTTTCCTCAATTAGATACGGCCATTACAGGTCTGGTAAACTTGCCGTATGTTTTTCTACATCAAAGTTTTTATAAATGTTGTTTCTGGCATCGGCTGGTAAACCTTACACGTATACAGAAATGGCGATCGGTTCCATTTTATGTAAAACAAGTTTACTGTACGACGGTATTTTTACATAAAAACACACAATGGCCTATGGGTTTCAGTCTACGAATAAGGCCAGGGTCTACGCATGACTGAAAATGACGTCAAAAGGGAATCCGTAAAAGCTCCTATATCATCATTATCAAACCTGAATTATTAACTCCTCATGGCCAGAATGAAAAGGTGGTCACCTACCCTCTCTTTATTAAGAAATTAGTCTGTATATAGCTATTACAATTTGTTTACGTCAACCAAAACGTGGGGAATGATGAAATAATGTGTAAGAAATGACAGAAAACTTGACTATAATCATACTCATTCAGAGTTGGTTGGATGAATGTGTTTCTATGATTTTAGAAACGAAATAAACTGTCATATTTGTATCAAATTAAAAAAATCATAATAAATTAAAGACTGTCACAATTTATAAAAGGCGCCGCAAAACAGAAAAATATGTGACATGAAATAGGTTGACAAAACATTCACACGTTTCTATCACGTCTACCTGTTGATTTCACTTCTGCCAATGTTTTGATTTGCAACCCACTGATAAAGTAATAAAATTCGGATCGGAAAACATTTCTGAAAAGAAATACGCACCAAAAACATTTGCAGTTTTGATTCTAGACTATTATGCGGTAAATAATTAATGATGTTTTGTTAATTATTCATCCTTATCTCTCTGTATAATTATGCTTTAAGATCAATAGAATATAATTAAATGTTTTCTATTTCTCGACGTATAGTCTCAAATCACTAATTTTAAATGTAGGCCGTACAAGCAGACAACCGGAAGATTTGACCGAACACCTCGTAACCTCGTGTCTCGTTTGTCAAACCTTGAAAGTCTATATCCGTCTGGATAGTTTAGACTACACGATATTTGACAGAAATCTCTGTTTTAAAAAAGATTTAGTCGTTCTGAGAGAAATATTGCAAGGTAAATGCAATGCTATGTTCTGGTAAACAAATATACTTGTAAATGTAAAGATCTACGTAATCGGTCCCCATTTGCGTTTATAATAATGTATATTTTGTATTGTAACACTGCAACAATGTTGCAATAAAATTATAAATCACCATAATACAATCATTTACATGATGACATGTACAATGTATTTTGAAAAAATAAATATCTTCACCGTCAATTAAAGATACATGATAAATTGATAATATCGATGACCGAAAATGCATTAGATATGATGGATTGTAAATCTACCATATGCATTATAATATATATTATAAAAATAGCTACCTGTTGCCTTTGGATAAGCTTATAAATTAATAATGTAATGGTGTTGTCACATTGTTTCACTCTGTGTCAGAATACAAATCAAATAGCCTTTCTTTGATGAGTCAAATATTTTTACAAAATCTAAATGCCTGATAGTATTATTTCGCTAAAATATCAAATTTCTCACATCTTATTCAGAAATTGAATGACCTGCCAGACCCTTTGTGTACTTGGTCTTTCAAACATTTTATTACTGGGGTAAACGTAAACGTTATCTTGGTACGGCTCAAAAGTGTACAGCTCCTATTACGCCAGACATTTTACTTCGCATTAAAACCTCATTGGGATCTTGCCACAATAACGCTGTGTTTTGGGCTGCTTGTCTAGAGTTTTGGGGGTTTTAAGGCCAAATAATTTCCTTGTAAAAAACACATTTAACCCACTTCACCACATCTAATGACAGGATGTCACACTGTTCTCTAGGGGTTACCTTGTTAGCATTAAAATCACCAAGACTATGCAATTTCGTAGCAAGCCTGTTCTCTTCTTTGATTGGCATTTAATAATTGAACATATTAACACAAGGTACAATTTTATGGATACACAATTACTGAGTTTAATACTAAGCGACGTTTCAACGAGGATAAAGACGAGAGTATCTTCGTCGAAATGTCAGCTAGTATTAAACTCAGTAATTGTGTATCCATAAAATTGTGACTTGTGTTAAGCTTTTTCTCGATGGCCTTCCACGCATTTCCAATTCCCCCCTTGATCCTTGTGTCGGATTGGGTACTCTTTTGTCCATGGAGGCCCTACCTTGTGCTCCATTATTTACGCTTGATAATGGCTTATACCTGACCTATTGTTACTTCCTCAAGGCCTTCCGTCTAATGCTTAAGCAACTTGGATTTCCCTCTCTATTTTATGGTGGCCACTATTTCCGCCATGGTGCAGCTACTTGGGCCAGTTTATCCGGTTTCTCTGATCAGCAAATTAAAAAATTTGGGTTACTGATCAAGCATTTGTTTCCAGAGGTACATAGACTCAGATGTTACTACACGTCTAAGTGCACTTAATACTTTCACCTCATACTTTCTCTCCTAACTCAAGGTACACTATACCAATCACTACCCCTGTTTGGGGGTTTTGGGAGTTATATTTTAACATTGTATAACTTTGTATTTCTTTGTCTTGATATTTTTGTATTAATTATTACTTGTATTGATTATCTGAAGATGTGTTAATTCAAATTTATACCATTCCAATTACTTCCCTGGTCATGAAGTGTAGTCAGATAAACTACGTGGATAAGCTTATAAATTAATGGTGTTGTCACATTGTTTCACTCTGTGTCAGAATACAAATCAAATAGCCTTTCTTTGATGAGTCAAATATTTTTACAAAATGTAAATGCCTGATAGTATTATTTTGCTAAAATACCAAATTTCTCACAGCTTAAATATCCACGATTTAATGTACTCAGATTGATTATTTAACATTTAATTAAGAAAACAAAATCAAAATACCAACACCTGGATTCTATCAGATTTAAAAAAGGCCTATCAACAAGTCTGGACAGAAGGCACTTGTTACAGACTTGTCAGACACAAATTATCACACAACATATTATAATATAAGCGTTGTGTGATAATTTGTGTATGACAATGTCTGTAACAAGACATTATAAGCCCGATCATGCAGCTTGGTGGAGGGCGTGAAAAATGGAAGTGCAGAAAGATCAAATTTTATTTGCCGTAGCAACTTGTAATAAAAAATTCTTTATAAAAATAATCAGTGAAATTCATTTAGCACAATAAGACTCCATCTCAACATCGTTTATCTCTGAATCTGTCTTCCAACTCCATGACTCCCAGGTAGATATTAAAAAAACAAATGTTATTATTTATATGTAAATAGTCATGAGCTGTATTGGACTGAGTGAGTAAGATGCTGGTGTTTTCCCCTTGGTGGTTGGCGCAAGATGGATGTCTGGTAGGGAACAGTATCTAGCTGTTCGAATAGGATGAAAAACTGAGGTACCATGTACACATTGCATGTACATAACATAAAAGAACCCTTGACAGTTAGAATTCGAAATAAGATTCGGCCTCAGTGTAAAATTTCCCTCTGAAAAGTGGGACGTTAAACTCCATTTCATTTCATACTAACAGAACATTGAAGGTTCCGATAAACAGTGAATAATAATATACTTTTTCTGCACATTTCCCGATTCAAAATCACTGATGTGGTTTATTATCCAGTCTCTTTAGCCAAGTCAAGTAAGAGTTGCGCCCCTTCCCACAATAAATCCCATAATTCATGCATTAATATAAACAAACATGAATCGTGACGACGAATTAGGATTGATTTTAAAAGAATAGATATGGCCCATGACGAGAGAAATTTTACAATAAAAAATTAAGAGTGTTAGATATTGAACTCGCATGCAATCAAATGGATTTTTTGAAATGGCATTCTTAAATTAATTTCATGGGCGTAAACATCTTGTTTTAAGAGGAGTTACCTCCCTTAGACACTGTTTATGATAATGTGAAAGACCGGATTATCTAGCCAATTTTTCTCAAATGTTGACAACCTGTCCAGACTAATATTCGTAGAATATTTTTCTGGATGATAGAGACTATAACAACCCGAAAGTAGTGGGATGGCCTGAGTAGGGCCTATAGATATTGTATTATTTTGGCAAGTTTATGAGGCTATATTTTTTGGTGGGGGTGATGGGTGTTGCTCATGGTCGGTAACATTATGTGAAATAAACATATTTCTTTTTAGTATCATTAATGTTTTTATAACTATATGTCACTCCACATTTGTGTTATATTAAGGAACAACTTGAGCCGCTTACATGTACTTCATCTTTCAGGAGAAAATGTTTCAACCAGACTCTCCCATCAGGACCTATTGGAGACCCAAATCACTGAATTTTTTAAATCGTTTGAAAATGTGTTTTTAACAACAAGTTATTTATGTTTTATAGATACATTACACTTTATTTACAATGATGACTTGTCCAAAATCTTGTGATACATTTGTGGCATTACCACCAGTAACTGCCAATGGGTGTGTTGTGTTTGGTAAGAACTCTGATCGACCTTTGACGGAAGTTCAAGAAGTTGTCTACTACCCAGCTAAAGATCATGATAGTGGTAGCAAGCTTCAGGTAAGATTTTACATCGAGATTCTTCACCATTGTCTGTCTATTCACAAAGTTTGTAAATTTATGTTCTAATAGTTTTTGATTTTCTTTTTCTTTTTTTAATGTTAACATGATTATTTGACAAGTAAGTACCTGTAGGAGGAACACTACATGTATTAAGATATACTGGTACATTTATGGTTATTTGAAATTTACATCAATTGCTTTTGCATTTAACCATTTGGTATTTTCATTTAAACAAATAAAATTGATGACTGATCAAACTAGAAATCAAAAAAAATTGATATATCATTTTAAAGCAGCAATTCCAGATGTGACAAAAAATCAGTTGGCAAAAGTTGGTTTAAGTTTGAAACCAAACACCAGTTTGTAACAAAATAGCTCAATTACCTTGTTGCAAAATCTCAAATCAAAATATTGAGACATTATTCAGTGACTTGATAATCACTACAAAACACTACAGTCTTTAACTCAATATCATCCACAGTCTTCGACATTGAAAACACAGATTATTTCTGTGATGCTGTGATCTTACTGGGAAAAGATGGGCTTCTGATATCCAATATTTAAGACAAAATAAAATTTTTACCATTGGTACACGAATCATGTACAAGAATGCGTTTCAGTGTCATTTTTAACAAGGGACTCGAAGAATGAGGCTAAGACATATTCTACAAGTCATGTCAAACAGTGACGTTATATTCTTATCTGGAAAGCATGCGCAATAAGTACTACGGGTGTATACTGGAATAACCAGACGCTAGAGATTGCCATTCAATTGTGACATCTCTCATATTTTGCTGAACATAACTGATTTGAAATTAGAGTAAAAATGGAATCGATTGAATGTAAATCAGTTTATATATTCATATTACATTATTATATGCGTTGCGACCTAAATATTAGCGATTTAGTTCCTTTAAAACTATAACTTTAGCTAGTATATAGATGTGATTATTGAGGCACTATATAATATTGAGCGGAAATTTGCACCCTAAAGGAAAATGAAAATTTTCATTTCTTCAAAAAAGTGTCACAAGCTTCAAATAGTTGCACTGGACGAGGATAAATGTTTTCACACATTATTTTGTGCTTAAATTGTGCCTTTAGCTCATTTTTTGGATTTTTTTGAAAATTAAAATTTCAGTGCACATATATAGAAATAGAAGAAGTGAATCATACGTATAGTGTGATATTGAGTAAACCAGCGTGGATGTGGGGAGCTGAGATGGGAGCTAATGAACATGGTGTATGTATAGGAAATGAAGCTGTATGGAATAAACTCAACAGTTCTGATGATCTAACAGAAAAACTACTAGGAATGGATTTACTGAGGTATGTACCGTATTGTAGGTTTTTTGAGAAATTTTTGCATAAGCAACAAAACTATGAATGTGCAACTAATGAGAATGAAAGAGAGAGAAATGGGGTTTAATGTCCACTCAACACACATTAGGTCATTTTGTGACTACCTCATGGTACATGTACAATTTTATTTCAATAATTCACTTACATGTAGGGATCTTTAGCAGTGGGAGGAGACATGAGAAAACCCTTGAGGTTAGGTAGGCAACCGGCCCTTCTTGTTTTCTTGTCACATACAAGTGTGGGATTGAAACCACACCAATGACTGACCTTACATATGCACATGTTAGACAATTCTCCTTAAATATTAAACATACATTATGCAAGAGCTAAATCTGCCTATTGCAGTCTTTCTTTAGGCCTGAAATGTTTTCTAAATTATTAATTAGACATTAATTAACTGATACAGGCCATAATCAATTCTCAATGGCATCAGATTTCTCCGATATTAAATAGATTAGAACGGTTCAGCCATATTTTATTTGAATTTAGCTTTTGCACACGTCTTGTCAAACCTTTAAAGGCTAATATCTTCGCTCGCAATAGATTAATTTTAATGAAATTTTCAAATTATTCATTTTACATTATCTATTTTCGAACTATTATAGCAAGAATGGCTATCTGTTTATCTAAATCTTACATACTGTATCTTTATCGTGTAATACAGATATAAAAAGTTGGATCAATATACCCTTGTTAGAGACCTAGGGGGTCTGGAATGCAGACGGCTTTGGTAGACATTTTATGCCAATCTGTCAGTAAAATGTTATGTATGTACAATATTCATGGTTAATATGTTTTATATATTTTAGACTTGGTTTAGAAAGAAGTAAAACAGCTAGAGAAAGTGTGGATGTTATAACATCACTACTGAAACAATATGGACAAGGTGGTAACTGTGAGGAAGCCTTGACACAGTGGTCATATCATAATAGTTTCATAATGGCTGATCAAAAAGAAGCATGGGTGTTAGAAACAGTGGGTAATCACTGGGCAGCAGAACATATTACAGGTGACATTACATGGTTTTTATACGCCCACATTTTCATGTGGAGGTATATTGTCGTCGCCCCTGTCCATCCGTCCGTCCACAATTGTTTGTGAACAGTCTGCAGGTCACAATTTTTATCTGATTTTAACGAAACTTGAAATATAGGTTTATCAACCTAAGATCTCGGTTCCTTCCGATATTGGCATGTATGGGACTGTAACTTCATGGATTATGGACCCTGATTGTACGAAAAATCACGTTTTTAGCCTGTGAACACTGTTGAGGTCACAATTTATATCCGATTTTGTTGAAACTTGAAATGTAAGTTTATAACCCAAAGATCTTGGTTCCTTCTGATAATCGCGCATATCGGACCGTAACTTCCTGAATTATGGCCCCTGATTGTACGAAAAATCGCGTTTTTAGCTTGTGGACCCTATAGAGGTCATAATGTTTATCCGATTATAAAAAAAGGTTTTATTATATCACCGTTACACCCTAAGGATGGGTGAATTCGTATTTCGTGAAAATCGGCCCAAAACTGACAGACAAAATGGCCGCCCCTCGTTCTCAAATAGTGTAAAAATATGGTATATCAAGGTTGTGGACCCTATAGATGTCACAATTTTTATCCGATTTTGTTGAAACTTGAAATGTAAGTTTATAACCCAAAGATCTCGGTTCCTTTCGATATTTGCGCATATCAAATTGTAATTTCCTGAATTATGGCCCTTGATTGTAGGAAAAATCACTTTCTTTTTAGCTTGTTCTCTATCCATCTCTTGAAAATGTGGGCGTATCCTGCCTGGCAGCCGCAGGTTAACCTAATGTGCCATACATGTATGTGTCTTACTGTTCTTTCACTGTACACAATTTAGATTTTAAACCAAATTTCATATGAAGAGTTTTAATGCATTTACTTCATTCTGATAACAAGTACTATATTTGGGTAGCTGAACCTACCGGAAACTAATGTCAAGAATTTTCGTATATACATGTAGCTGCAGGGGTAAAACATGCAAAGACAGTAAAAAGAGATAAATGTTAACATTTGATAATTGACTTCTGTTTCTGTTCTATCTGGACACGCATGTGCTACTAGAACTTCCGTTGCTATGGACACCATCTGATAGGTCGGTGTGTATACGATTGAGAATGTGGACATGTATTTGATATAATTGATGTATAATCGATGAAACATGATACGAGACAGTATACTTTATAATCTAAGAGTACACATAAAGACTGTCCAATTCTTTAAAAGCATTGAATGGAATTTTTAACAATACATTATGCAAATTTGAGCTAAATCTGCCTATTGCAGGTCTTTCTTTAGGCTTCAGATGTTATACAAATGATTAATTAGACCTTTATTTACATGACAAGCTCAAAATCAACTCTGTAGACCCTCAGATGGCTTGGATTTAAACAGTCATCCATTTAAGAATTAAATCAATAAATGGCTGACCAAGCTAACGTTTACCCTTAGTTACTGACGTCACTACCGGAGACTGCCGATGAAAGGCCTGTTAACCGAGGGAACCTTAGCCATTGAGAATGTTACTTGATAATAGAGAATATGTGGGTGGAATTATCGTCTGTCAATCAAATGATCGTCAATTCTCGAAGAGACTTGATGCCTATTTCTAATCCAAACTTCCAACAGTGACTACTCCGTTTAGAATTTTCAATATTTTTTTTTTTTTATCATCTATTTTTGAATTATTATAGCAAGACTGGCCAACTCTGTATTAAACTCTTTAACTAATGTATCTTTAATATGATTGGAAATAAACATAAATCAGTTTATGTAACTCAGATTTGTTCATAAAAGAAAAAGTGTGTGATGTTGTTGTCATCATTTTCTTAAACCCTGAATATTATCCCATCTGTTTTGTAACTTTAAAATACATGTCACTATATACAAGATCTGTAGTTGTGTTTTATCCACCTTATCCCTGATCAACTTACAGAATCAACTTGGGATGTGTTTTTTTTGGCCCTCCATCCTGCAACATTGACCAGGGTAAACCATGCTGAAAAATCATGAGGTACTTTCTAATCCAACACAGTGATCAAACCTGGTACTTTCTAGTTAGCGAGCCTTACCTGTGTCTCCTTAAAAAAACAAAATTAGGGAAACATGTTATTAATTTTGCAAGCAATTTTTCAGAGGGTGTACGTAATATTTCAAATGAGTACTCAATAACAACAAAAATGGATCTGACCTCCGATGGTTTAATTGAGATGGCAACTGAGAAAGATTTATATTCTTCAAGTCAAGGAGAATTTAATTTTGCTCAAGTATTTTCTGGCAGTGGTGGTACTAGCAACCAGAGTACACGATATCGTCATGGGCTTAGAATGCTCAAAGATCTATCAAAATCAGGTATTTCCTTTAACATATCATATTCTACACATGTTTTTTTAAAAATAAACATTACTATAATCTAATATGACAATACATTTCAAGATGTAAAGGCCCCTTTGTAAAATTCTACATTCATATTAGAAATATTTTGTCATAAAGCTGTAGAAGTGCAGTTTCTTATAGTATGTGCAGGAGAACCACACTATGCATAAAACAAAGCTGACAAGTCAAACCTGTGGACAAGACAAACTTCATAGACATTGCAAGAAATAAACAGGAAATATCAAATAAAGTTAATGGATCCAGGGGGAAGCCGTAAGTGTCCACTACGCTGTACAGTAATGATACAGGCTTTACTCAAAATGAAAAAACAAATTAATAATTTACAAGAAAGATGTAATAGAAATAATGCATCCTGTCTTGACCGTGGTTGTCTACTGAATGGCGATAGTCAGCCAGTTGACATCATGAGTTAGAACATCAAACATTTTAGCAACAATAAGGGTGATATTTCAGATAGAATCACGGAAAAATAAAATAAGGGGTCGTTTTGAGTCTCATTTCTGCAGTCAAGAATATATAATAATTAATAAATAAGAATAAGAACAATCTGTGTTTTAATGTGGGTGTGGTATACATGTTGGGTAATGGACTCTCATCTGAAATATTTAGGATTCCATTGTCACCAGGTTCCAGCTTGTCAGTGATATTGTTTGGCTTGGATATACAATTGAATACAATTACTGTTTACTACTGAACAATGTTATGACTAGACTTCTCTAGTCCTTTTCAAGCAATGATGAAGACTAGTTGGAATGTCACTCAGTAATAAACAGTAATCCATAGAATTGAAATAAAAATGAAATGAAATGGGGTTTAACGTCCTACTGTTCTGCTCTGACAGGGCTAATGAAGACAGGCATACGCCATACAGTGTGCTATGAGGGAAATTTTGCCCGGACAGAGGCAATACAGCCTATTCTTATATCGAATTCCAACGGCCAAGGGATCTTTTACGTGCACATCAATGTGAACACAGGACCTCAGTTATTCGTACCATTCAATCAAACGACTATAGATTGTCCCTGCCATAGAATTGTGACCTGTGTAAAATGGGCTAAGTATGAAAAAACAGATTCTTCAGTTCCTGAAATGATCTAGTTTGTGTTAAATGGCTGTTTAATACCATTTCTCCCCCTTCTCTAGAAGTGCACTGTCAACACTAAGTTTTTCTCTTTTTGCATTGCACACTTAACCACAGTTGATATAAATTACGGTATGTTAGTCTCATAATGATAAGAGAGAGAGAGAGGAGAGAGAGAGAGAAATGAGGTTTAACGTCCACTCGACACAAAACTAGGTCGTTTTGGGACTAACTCATGGTTCAATTTTATTTCAATAATTTGCTTGCGCGTAGGGGTCTTTAGCAGTGGGAGCAAACCCGAGGAAAACAACGAGGTTGGACAGGCAACCCCACTCCCATTCTGCACACAGAGATCCATCTACTTCATTCCTCTAGAATAGATCTCTGCCCTAAATGGCCGCCATATCCAAAAATTAGTATACTGTTTTTTAATGTGTTTCTTTCAATTTTATGAAATGGGAGCAGAATAAATACTCAACAAAATTCTCGAAGTATACTTAGTGTTTTTGACTAAAATCGTCGATTTAGTACTTAAAATTTCGGTTAACTAGCTTAGTGTCTATTCTCAAGCGGAGCTAACTGTAGACAGAAAGCCTATGTTTAGTATGCCCTACTCCTTGTAAGATACAACCGGGGAATCGAAACCACCCCAGTTGATTCAATGACAGTTTTTATGTTACAACGTGCACATGCAAACCATTCCGCCATCCAGCCCCCCCATAATGACAAAGGTATATGGTAGACTCAATCAATTTCAAATTATATCTTAATATTTTGTTGTCGTTATGTTTTTTTTTACACTACGTAAGGTCAAATATATATTCATAGCAGCTGCTGGCTGCATTATGACTGCATTATGCATAAAACTTTAGTGGTTGATGTCTTGGCGTGATTGCAACAGCAGCATTTTTATTGATTGTTTACAGTACACAACTAGGAACAATAAACGTGTTTAACAAGGTAAAACTGATGTGAGCCCTATGAATTATTACAAAATGTTTGACAGGACTTTTAAGCACATGACTATTGTATGTATTGTAGGTGAGTTTGGAGTTAAGGATATGATGAGTATATTACGAGATGAAGATAGTGGTATTTGTATGACTGGAGGATTTACATCGATGGGAAGTCAGGTTTCTGTGATCAGTCCTGCAGCTTCAAGTTTCCCATCATGCCACTGGTTCACGGCCACACCTAATCCTTCAAGAAGCTTCTACAAACCATTTCTGTTTGGTCCTGGCGCAAAAACTGGCGATGCTACAAAATCACCTGAATACGGTGATCAGGACCCAGCCAAGGTCATACCAAGGTTTAAATCAACAGTCGATAGACGACATCCACTATTTAAAGGTCATGAAAAATTCTCATCATTATTGGATAAAGATGACCCAAAGAGTCTGATGATTTTGGAAAATATAAAAGAGTTAGAAAATAATTGTATAGCTGACATGGAGGAAGTCTTGTCAAATTTCGGTGAAAATAGTTTTTATAAGATTAGCGAAATTTTTAGTCACATGTCCAACTTAGAGCTTAATTTCTATAAATAGCTTTTCTAATCTACATGTGGTACAGTCCACCACACAATTGTCATACCCCATGCTCTACATATGATAGTCTGATCTGTTATAGATCTTAGGCTGAATGTGAGGCATGTAAAAAGTGGTCATACAGTATTTACAATATATTGTAATAATATAAATATTATCGGTTGTGTTTATATTATTGATGTCTAAGCGAATGTATGTACATGTATAAGGAGCTTTGGGTATCATAATTTAAAACTGTGCTAGCTTATTTTCTTCAAATGGTTCCTTCTCTTTGATCAAGATGAAAAATAAATATGTTAGCTTCATTGGATTGTATATGTAGATTTTTATATGTTTATATGGACGTATATTGTTGTTGCCCTGTCCATTCGGACGTGCGTCTGTCCTTCCACAATTTGTTCGTGGACACTCTACAGGTTGCGAATCTGATTTTGACGAAACTTGAAATATATTTTTATTTTCAAAAGATATTTGCGCATATTGGATTGTAACTTCCTGAATTATGGCCCTTGATTGTATGAAAAATCATGTTTTTAGCTTGTGGTCCCTCTAGTGGTCACAATTATTATCCGATTTAAAAAATCGTTCTATTATATCACTGTTACACTGTAATGTCGCTTGCCTTTGGATTTCATGAATATTGTACCAAAACCTACGGGACAAAATGGCCGCCCCTCGTACGCAAACAGTGTAAAATATGATATATCAAGTTTCTTTCGATATTTGCGCATATCGGATCGTAACTTCCTGAATTATGGCCCTTGATTGTACAAAAAATCGCGTTTTTAGCTTTTGGTCCCTCTAGAGGTAACAATTTTTACCCAATTTAAAAAAGACTGTTTGAATATATCACCATTACATCCTAATGATGGTTGAGTTCAAATTTCATGAAAATCGGACCAAAACTGCTGGACAAAATGGCCGCCCCTCGTATGAAATAGTGTAAATAAATGGTATATCAAGAGGTCACAATTTTGATGAAACTTGAAATACATATTCATAACCCAAAGATCTTGGTTCCTGTTGATATTCGTGCATATCAGATTGTTACTACCTGAATTATGGTCCCTGATTGTACAAAAAATCACATATTTAGCTTGTGGTCCCTCTAGAGGTCACAATTATTATCCGATTTAAAAAGAAAATTTGAATATATCACCATTACACCATAATGTTGGTTGATTTCAAATTTTGGAAAATCGGACCAAAACTGCTGGACAAAACAATCTAAAAATATGGTATTCACAATTTTGATGAAACTTTAACCCTTTCAATGCTAGACGTAAATCCACTGCCTGTGCTAGACCCTTTTTTGGGGAAAAAAGGGAGGTTGGAACTGAATGCCAAGCAGTACTTATGGAAGCTTTTATGAAAAATCTTTTTGTCTGTTGGGATGGGCATGAGGTTGGGCTAAGAGGAAAAAATAGAATTTTGGAAATTTGCATAATAATGTAGTCACGTGACGTCATGGCGGCCATTTTGGATTTCTCATTTCTCACTAAAGCTAACAGGAAAACGAATATTTCTCCATGAAATACTTAAAAGATATTGTTTTTTTCACTGGATTTTGATAAAGATATATAAAATGAACAAAAATATCAATAGCAGCCATGAGCAATGCTGCCACGAACACACGCATCACGTCTCCCGCTGCCATGACCACGTGCAGATTGCAATACCTTGTTTTTACTTTCACTTTCACTTTCATCCCAAGTCCCATATCATTATCAATATAGTCAGTCAATAGATCTACACGTTCGGGACTCAGGAATTGCCTACGTCTTTTACGATCCAGCAGGCCAGCATTATTATCAAGGTTGTGGTCTCTCTAGAAGTCAGAATTTTTATCCGTTTTTGTCGAAACTTACACATCAATGAAGGTTGAGTTCAAATTTCGTAAAAATCTGACCCAAACTTCCGAACAAAATGGCCGTTCCTTGTATGCAAATAGTGTAAAAGTATGTATACCAAGGTTGCGGACACTCTATAGAAGTCACAATGTTTATCCGATTTTGATGAAACTTGAAATATAGGTTTATCACCCTAAGATCTCGGTTCCTTTTGATGTTTGCGTATATCAGACTGTAACTTCCTGGATTATGGCCCCTGATTGTACAAAAAAATCACATTTTTAGATTGTGGACCCTCTAGAGGTCACAATTTTAAAATACATCTCAATTTATCACCGTCACACCCTAATGACAGTTGAGTTCCAATTTCGCGAAAAGCGGACCAAAACTGTCTTGACAAAATGGCGGTTCCTTGTATACATGCAAATAGTGTAAAAGTATGTCATACCAAGGTTGTGGACATCCGATTTTGATGAAACTTAAAATATATGTTTAGGTCCCAAAGATCTTGGTTCCTTTCGCTATTTGCACATATTACACTGTAACTTCCTGGATTACAACCCCTGATTGTAGGAAAAATCATGCTTTTTAGTTTGTGGATTCTCTAGAGGTCACAATATTTTATATCACTATTCCACCATAATGAAGGGGAAAATCGAAACAAACTGCCCGACCAAATGGGCGCTCTTTGTAAGCAAAGTGTGTAAAAGTATGTAATACGAAGGTTGTAGACACTCTAGAGGTCACAATTTTTATCCAGTTTTGTGAAAATTAAAATATATCTTTACATCCCAAAGATCTCAGTCCGTCTCAATATTTTGGCACTTCAGACCATAACTTTCTGGATTATGGCCCCTGATTGTACGACAAAACGCTTTTGTTTTTAGCTTGTTCTCTATCCATCTCTTGAAAAATGTAGGTGTATCTTGCCTGGCAACCGCTGGTTATACAATACAAACAAACTGTGTAACTGGGATAAAATAGGCATTATTTTAGAGAATGATTAGTTTTATATTATTTGAAAAAAAAAAGAAAAATGAAATGATTTCTGTAACGGTATTTACAACTTGCTTCACATTCCATAAATAACAGTGGTGTATTAAATGTTAAAATTATGCAAATATTGTTTTAGTGAATGTTCTTGTAAGATAATTAGCATATGTAAATGTATTTATAGATAATTTAATTTATTGCCTAATTATTACCATCAATGTGATTGAGGTATAGTGTATATTTATTGTATGTAAAATATTGTGTTAGTGTTTAGAACAATGTTTAGTGCTATAATTGCTAGGCTATATATTTTAAATCCTTTTTTTGTTATGAATATTTTTTGTTTGTTTTGTTTTAAATAAATTCGGGTGTAATAATTTGCTTAAGATTTACTTAATTCAACATAGCAGACAATTAAGTCCTGTTACTAGTTAATATACATACGACAGCTTATAACTGACATCATAGAAGTCAGCATGTTCAACATCCACTATAATTAATGGATTTTGTCAAATGAATAGTGATTAGGAATTACTGCATAAACAAAGCAAAAATAAACTTGAAACAGAACTTTGCACCGTTTTGGTTCAATCACTTAATCATCTGTTATTAAGTAGGTTATCGAGTTGTCAGTCAACAGCTGCAGACAGCCATCTTTTTCTGTGTAAGCTTTAGAGGATTCATTACATATTTGTTTCTTGGATAATTGCATAATGATTTACGGACTCTGATTTTTGATATGACATCACAATTCTAAGATGGCTGTGATGTCATACTGTAACTCTTAGGGTTTCATACCTTTCAAAACTGTATATTATATCCTGTGCAATATTCACTGTTATATATAACAATCATTGTATCTTTGCTGTTTGTTTATTTCATGTTATGCTATAGCTGTTTCTGTGACTCGTGCTCTGTTCGTTGGGTAAATGTTATTATTACTGGTGTGTCGCTGAATACAGTATATTGTATGAGCTTTTTGACAGTGCAATATTGAATTTCCATGGTTTATGTGCATAGTATTAATAAAAAATTATTGAAAAACTATTTTTGTTGGGGTTTTTTCAAATTTAAGCCAGCCTAGAATCGAGTTTAAAACATTGAATAAATTTGTTTACAAAGTTCATTGTATCATTATATGAATTATATTTTTAAAACTTTTATAAATTGAGGTAGGATAGGAATTTTTGTTGTTGTCCCCAGCAGGGGACTATTGAAATGGGTTTGCTGTCAAACTTTTTGTAAAATGTTCAAAACCTTTTGCAGTTGTTCATTAGGTGAATGTCTTTTCTGAGTTTGATGAGGAGCATTTTCTGCTTAGACTAACAGATGTCTGTCCATTGGAACACAATAACTTTGTTTCTACTAAGTGAGGTGTCTTCATTAGCCTAGTCAGAACTGAACAGTAAGGTGGGGGTGGGAGAGATGTTTAACATCCACTTGACCCAAACTGGGTCATTTTGGGACTTACATATGGTTCAATTTTATTTCACTAATTTGTTTGTGTGTAAGGATCTTTAGCAGTGGGAGGAAACCAAAGGACCTGAAGAAAACCCACGAGGTTGGACAGGCGACCCTACTCTTTGTTGCGTACCAGGGCATCAAAACCCACGCCAGTTGACACAATGATAGACCTTATGATACAAAGCACACACGCTAACCATTCCACAATTCTATTATTTCCTATGGTATTAACTGAACTGAAGAACAGTGGGAGGTTAAACCCAATTTCATTTCATTCGAATTGAAAAAAGGCAATGAGACAAGGATTAAGAGGTAAACTTAAATTAGATCGAGAAATCTCCTCTGAAAAATGGCTTCATAACCTTCAGTAGAATAAAACTCGAGAGGGACTTTACAAGATATTATCAGGTAACTGTCACATATTGGACTCTTTTTAGATAAAAGATTTATGTACAGAATGTTATTTTCCAAGTTATCTTCTTTTAGTCTTCCCAAAATTTATCATTAACCCACAAATCCCTGTTAGCGATAGAACTTGATTACATAGTGACATTTTTGATATTATGCAACATAATTTATTCTTGAAGTCAATCCTTTACTTCCATGGCTACATTTACCACTTTTCTTTTCTCCCCATCTATCCCCATTAATTTGTTATCCCCCTATAGGCTCGATTATATGTGTTATCCCCCTTTAGTCTTCCAAACGATGTTGGATGTACCGGTATTTAACATTTTCCCCGTTCTTGATATTTTTAAATTGTAAATTAATTTCTGCGATGATGTGCAATGTATTATTGATTCATAAAATGGAATATTAACGGAGAGCTTGACACAGTCTTGGGGCATGGTCTATAATTACAATAAATTTCCTGGTTCCACTTTAGTACTTTTCGCAGGTTTCTTCATAAAAAGAACTTTTATAGCAATCATTCAATAGTGCTAGAATTTTCGAATTCGAGGATGTCATCGCCTCTCCATACATCAGATATATCCCATAGTTTTTGCGATGTTCTTGTAGCTAAGCATCAATCAGAAAGGGCGGGAACTTGCTCACGGAGATTGGATATATCTAACTTAAATTTGAAGTTCAAATGAAAAGTATATGGGTGGAGGGAACCAAAAATAGCTCAGTCTTGTGTATTCGTTTCTTAATCATAGGTCAATGTAAAGATGTGCACATAGCCTCTTATTAAACTATACTACATTTCTTAGCCCAGGGGTCGCACTAGTTCAAAAAGATTGACACCAGAGTAGTAAATTTTCAAAAGTGAAAGTTGTAAGTTAAAACACAGAGGATGGGCTAATAGAGGCATTTATTCACTTTGGCTTGTGGACTTTAAGTTATATACCCGCAAGGTTACGGAAGAGAGTATGGAATCGAATAATTTTATTTGAGCGAGTGTACAAAAGCTCCCCCAACACATCAATTGAAATGACAGACCATGGACTACCACAAAGACACCATGCCACGAGTACTTTTGGCCGTAGCCTATCGGCGACACCATAAGCTAATAGTGATAAGAATATAATATAAAAAAATCATTTGAAAAGCAATATTTATACATTTATATAAAAAATGGGCACCTTTTTTTAAAATTTCTAATGAAATTAACTTTATGAGCAGATATAGGTACTCTCGTATCATACCAATGCCAGTGTGTCTTCGAGAAATCCAAAACTCTTCTTTTATTCAGCTTCAAATTTGTACCAAATATGTACTATCCATGACTATTTCAGGAAAATATATCAAAATATTACAGTGATTCATTATTGTCAATACATCGCTTTAAAGATGCATTATGTAAGAGATAAATCTTCCTAATACTGACATTTCGTTTGACTTTAAATGTTTTATAAATCATTAATTAGACATGTATGTCAAACCCATAATCAACACTCTAGATCATCGGATGGTTTTGATTTTCAGCGGATTTAAACACGATTTGCAGTTAATAAAATAATGTTTTTTAAAAAAATGGGAGAAAGAAATGGGGTTTAAAGGCACTCTACACAAACTATGTCATTTCGGGACCTACATATGGTTCAATTTTATTTCAATAATTCGCTTGCGCGTAGGAGTCTTTAGCAGTGGGAGGAAATCATACTCCTTGTCACGTACAACCGGGAATCGAGATCACGCGCTAACCATTCGGCCATCCAACCCCCCTTTTAAAAAATGGACAATTGATAATTATCGTAACAACGCTGGCAATGACAAGCAATATACACTGTTCGTCAAATGGCCATAAATGAAGTAATTTAACTGAGAATGTCAACATATTGCCTTTTCATTATCTATTTTTTAACTATGGTAGCGAGAACTGTCAGCTCTTTATCTAAATCTTACACAGTGCATCTTTAATACAGAGCTGGAAATATGCAACAGTACACATCCAAATTCTTACAGGTTTAGATTTAAAGTATATTACGGCGAAACTTTCAAAATACATGCAACTAGATAATATTGCAAGATTTTGATTTGGGATTATGATTTGTTTGAGCGTTGTTGTTAGATTGTTGTTGGGCTCCTTTACCTTTTGTGGTATGTGACATTGTAGCAGTTTGTTTTGCCGTTTTCTTTGGAGCTGCTGGTTTTGTTTTTGGTGGTAGATTTTGAGATGGGAGACCTTCGGATAATTTTGAAGTAACTTTCTGTGGTGTGCTACGTAAGTTACCAATCTTGCCTTCATTGATTTCATCACTTAAATCATCAACCCTGTCCATTCCGATCTCCGCCAATCTGTTCCAATTCGCACGGTTATCTATAACGCCATTGTACAGGTGTTTCATCTTTGGATTCAACTGAGAAAAAAGATCATATACCGGTGTACAAATGGCGTCAATAAATCCGATCTGCATTTTAGGTAACTCAGTCTTCTTATCTCGGTCCATCATAGCTATTGGCGTTTCCCCCAATTCCTCCCTTTCAACATCTCCCTGTTCAAAGAATTCGGCTGACACTAAATCTGCAGTTCTGAACTGAATTTCCCAGGGTTTACAGATGGCCGCAACATCGCACGCTGTCATCATCATGGCTTTCAAAATCTCTTTGTTTGTTCCGCTATGGAAATTTTTCTCTCCCTTTTCTATAAGAGCTTTGAAATTACCACGTTTTCCAAAATACAATGCCAGATCAGTGGAAATAATGGCATGCTCTAAAGTTTTGATAACCAATCGGTAATTATCAGCCGATAAGCTATCGAATATGTTGTTACCCTCACTGTTAAGGATCATAATGCAATGATCAAAATGGTGATGCTCCATAACAGAGGTTGAATAGAGTGCAGCTAAAGGGGAATCGACTTTTACCTGAAATGTGTTGTTGGTACCTCTATGATCCAAATCGTGACACAAACACGCCGCTATCAAAGCAAACATTTCCAAGTCTTGTAAGTATTCAGATAATCCCCCTGAGAAAAAGATAGTGAACATGGTCTGAGCTACATTAAATGCGTGGCGCCAATTATGATACGTAACGTTTCTGTAGTTCTTTTTCACGCTACAGGTCCATCGACACAGCACTTCGTAGTTCACGTCGAACTTCTCCACAACACCAATTTCATTAAACATACAGATGGTTGCAAATAAAGTTTCATCATCGGACATGAAAAAATCATCAAAGTCAAAGCTATACAATCCAACATCATAACACTCGGGACCCTTTATTTCAGCCTTGGTGAGCATCTGTAATTCTTCGGCCGGTGCCATGGCGTGATACGACAGAACTTCCAAGGCCACTCTCTGTTTAGCCATTAGTCGCGAAACACTCTCGTACATTTGACAATTGTGGATCCCAAGTCCCGTAAATATCGAGAATGCTTCCATGATATTTTCGTCATTTTCATTGAACGACTGCTGATTCCTTTTGTTTATAAGTTGGGTTATTCCAATAACGCGACATTTATTGTCTACTATTGGCATGCACACAAGACTTTTCGTTTTAAAGCCGCTCTCGTCTACAAAATAGGCTTTACCGTATCGTGAATCCATCTCTAGGTCTATGACATTCACAAGTTTTTTACTGATTGCGACACCTTTACCCAAATCAGCGTTCTTTGATTTATCGATATCTGCCTTGGAAAGAATCATCAAGTTGCCTGGGTCCGTGTAAAAAAGATCGAATGCTTTGGAGAAAACAACTTCGTTTGGGGTAGTATACGTACCCAACTTAGATTCTTTAGAGGTCTCACCATTATCATCAATCTTGGCTTCACAAAAATCTTTCAAAAGATAGATGCTGCATCGTTCACACATGACAATACCCTGAGCTTCTGTCATTATTTTCTGACAAAGTCTCTCCAAGCTATTTTGTTCTTCAAAAACCCCACGAGCAAGCGTTAACAGAAGCTGATTCCTCTGATACTCTTTTACGGACATTTCAAACAACTGGGCGTTTGTTATACCGATTCCACAGAAAATTAGGTATTTTTCAAAAATTTTAATATCTTCCTTAGAAAAGGCATGCTCATCGGAATCCCGCTTATTTATAATCTGGGCTACGCCTATGACATCACCGTCCGCAGTTAAGATAGGCATACACAAGATACTGTGAGTTCTATAGCCTGTTTTTTTGTCAAT